TCACAGCAATTCTTTCAATTAGGTTATTATCTTTATTTTATCTAGGAGGACATCAGGGCTTGGAGGGTTAAGTGGCTTGCCTGGCCTTATAGCTGGTAGAGATTCGGGGTTGGGTCTGTTAACTCTAAAACTTGCTTTCTTTCTACCATAAGAAGATTCCTCCCTCTTTTCCCCAGTCTTAAAGATTAAGACTGATTCCTAGGAGCAGGAGTGCCTTAGTTAAGGTCATACAAAGGAACTTGGCTTACTCTGGTTCTGAAGTTTCTGTGGTCCCTGTAATTGTAGGTGGAAGCTTTTTCTCTGGCAGGAATATTCTACTATTTATGTTAAACATGACATATACAAACACATACCACATTTTCAAATTCTAAATCTTCAGACTGGATTATTCAAATGTTATTCTTTGTAGGCTGGTTTTAAAGGTTATAACAATATCTCATTTTATGAGGAGGCTAGGTTTGAAAGTCACTATGGCAAAATTATTTTTGGCTATCCCAAGGGAAGGCCTCTTGTTAGACAGCCTTGTACATACCTCTGTTCTTTACATCTAACATAGCCCATCTTTTCTTCCTTATTGAAATAGATTGTGTGTGTGTGTGTGTGTGTGTGTGTGTGTGTGTGTTTTGTTGTTGTTGAGGTTCATATGATGCGGTTAGCTTGTATTGGAGGTATGTGGAGGGGTAATTGAAATCTTTAAGCACCAGAGACTCATTCAGCACAGCAAAATGCTTACAGCATTACAGTTATTCTGATAACTAGAATCTAGATCCAGGAAAAGGATAGCAAATTCATGTCTTATTTTGGTGCTTATTCTAATGTGGTGATTTTCAAAATTTCACCTGTATTATCAGAAACATTTGCAGAGCTTGTTAAAGCACAGCTCACTGGGTTCTACCCTCACAGTTTCAGATTCAGTAGGTCTGAGATTCAGCCATAGACATTGCAGTTCTAGCAAGTTCCCAGGTGATTCAGATGCTGCCTGCCCTAGGACCTCAGATGAGAACCACTACACTACTTTAGTGGAAACCTGTGGAATCACTTGTATGCCTTTCCCTTCACTGGTTCTTTTGTTCTCTTTTATTTTTGAGAGGGTGTAGTTGAATCAGTTTAAGTGAAATGCAGGGATTATGGTTCAACCTGTTTGTCTCATTTTTTATCCCAGCTCTTGTCCCAGAAAGAAAGTTAATACATGCTGGTTGAATGAGTGATTAAGTAAATTAAAGGATGTAATGGGGGGGATATATAGGACATGGGCATCATTGTTATATACCTAGTCTATATGAATTGCTTATTTTCCTGAGAAGTAGTCATCTTTCAAAAATTTTTTATTTGTTATTTTTAGATATATATGACAGCAGAGTATCTTATGACATATTATACATAGATGGAGTATAACTTCCCATTCTTGTGGCCATACATGATGTGGAGTTACACTGATTGTATATTCATATATGAACATAGGAAAGTCCTATTCATTCTGTCCTTCCTATTCCCATTTTTTCTCTCTTCCCTTCATTCCCTTTTGTCTAATCCAATGAACTTCTATTCTTCCCCAACTCCTTATTGTGTATTTGCATCTGCATATCAGAGAGAACATTTGGCCTTTGTTTTTTGGGGATTGGCTTATTTCATTTAGCATGATAGTCTCCAATTCCATCCATTTACTGGCAAATGCCATTCTTCTTTGTGGCTGAGTAATGTTTCCATTGTGTATATATACTACATTTTCTTTATCCATTCCATTCATCTTTTGAATGGCACCTAGCTTGGTTATGTATTTTAGCTATTGTGAATTGAGCTGCTATGAAGTATTTTATGTGGCTGTGTCACTATAGTATGCTGATTTTAAGTCCTTCATGTATATGCTCATGAATGGGATGACTGGGTTAATTGGTGGTTCCATTCTAAGTTTTCTGAGGAATCTCCATTCTGCTTTCTAAAACGATTGCACCAATTTGCAATCCCACCAGCAATATATGAGTGTACCTTCCCCCCATATCCTCACCAATATTTATTGTACTTGTGTTCTCGATAATTGCCATTCTGACTGGAGTAGGATGAAATCTCAGTGTAGTTTTAATTTGCATTTCTCTAATTGCTAGAAATGTTGAACATTTTTTCATATATTTGTTGATCATTCATATTTCCTCTGTGAAGTGTCTGTTGAATCCCTTTGCTTATTTATTGATTTGGTTATTTATTTATTTATTTGGTGTTAAGTTTTTTTTATATATCCTGGAGATTAATGTACATTAATGCACTATCTAAGGTGCAGGTGGCGAAGATTTTCTCCCATATTAAATGCGCTTTCTTCATGTTCTTGATTGTTTCCTTTGCTGTGAAGCAGCTTTTTAGTTTGATACCATACCATTTATTGATTTTAGATCTTAAGAAGTAGGCATCTTGAGATTAGAATAACTTGTACCTTAAGACAATGTATGGTGATCAGATCATAGAGATCAGTAAGTAAGCAGAGTTTGGTGTAGATTTGAGATATTTATATTTTGGGACCTGTGACGTGTGGTGTGTGTGTGTGTGTGTGTGTGTGTGTGTGTGTGTGTGTGTGTGCGCACGCGTGTGCAGGGAGCCTCATCTGTTTTAGAATGATCTAGAGATGTCTTGCAGGGTCTAGGTAGGTCAGAACCAGTCCTTGCTCCAGGGAGGCTGGCGCAGTGCTGCAACAGCAGCCTTCAGGAGCTCCAGACAAGGGCTTGCATTCTCACTGCGGCCCCTTCATAGCACTGAGGAGTTCAGCCTCCAAGATGCTAAGGCTCAGTGGCTCAGGGTAATTCCATAAATTCAAATAGCTGCACCACCAGTCTTAGCATGTTATAGGATTTGATAATTAGATGTAAAATAGCCAGTTAATAAAAATCTCAAAAGGTAAGAAAAATTTCACAAAATATATCTGAAGTTCAACTTAAGTTTATAATTATTTTATCTTTTCAACACATTTTGTATTATGTGTCCTATAAAGTCTCAGTATCTTGTATGTTTTTTTTTTCCCTCTTTTGGAATAAACTTTAATTCCTTTAAGTTCACTTTACTTTTTTATGTTGAAATATTTTCCAGTAAACAGAGTTTGACATTCTACCTTTAAATCTATCAATGTACAACTGTAAAAAATAAAAACATTTTCTTATGTAACCAAAATAATATGATCACTCCTAAAAAGTCTTTAGAATGGTCTAATACGTTGTACATATACAAATCAACACAATTTTCTTTATATTATCATTTATATCTTATTTGTTCAAATTAGTATCCAATCAAGGATAGTGCATTGCATCTGGTTATTATGCTCCTTAAAATTCACTTAATCTAAAACTGTTTCTTTTCCATATTGCCTTGCCATTGTCCTGTAAAATGTTCCACTTTGGGATTTGTCAGATTTCAGATTTTAACTCTTCTATCCTCTACATTTCCTGGAACCTGGTCATTAGATCCCAAGTTTAGATTAAAAAGCAAACTGAATATTTTTGGCAAGAATGTGTATCATGGTTGATATGTGTTTCCTGTTGTGTACATGAGAAGTTACTTAACTCTTGCCTGCCCAACATTAGTGCTGCTAACATCCATTTCCAGATTAAGGTTGACAGCCCGGTCCTTGTAAAGTTGCATTTTCCCCTCGTAACAAAGTGGTATTACTTTGACACTGTATGAATATTCATTTTCCTATTACCCATTCTCCTAATGCTTTTAACACCAATTGATAATTCTTACCTGAATCAGTAACTTTGCAGAAGTGTAATTTTTTTCTAATTTTGTCATTCCTTCTACACTAAGTGAAATTTGATTAAACAGCTCTTCTCTACCAACTGGGACTTTTTGGTACCCTAAAATATAATTATTTTACAAAGGAAGATTAAATGTTGAATATTTTCTTTATTAATTCCCTATTTAAAAGTAAAGGATTGATTTACTCAACACTTTACTTTAAATGGTGGCAAATGAATTTTTTCCTTGATTCTTTTTTTAATATTGGTATGCACTATTAATGGATTTTCTTGAACTGAATGTTTCAATCAACTTTTTTTAATGTTCAGTTTGTTTTATGTTCAATTTATTAAAATGTTATCCAGTGATAGTCTCTTATAATTAGCTCCTATGTCTGTTAATGTAACTCTATTAATTTTTGAGCACTTCTTTGTTTATTTGCCCAGCAAGATGTGTAGGCTTATCTTGTAAATTCTTTTTCCAGATGTCAATCAGTCACAGTACTAATAAGCTCTAGTTCCTTTTACTTAGAATGGTATTAGACACCAAAGTCCTGGCACTTGGAATGTCTATTAATACTATAGTAATAGTGTTTATAGACCTTTTCAATGGTCTATGTAGTGCTTGAATTTTGATATTGAAAGTTTGGATAATGAAAATTCAGATAGTAAGGAATATGTGTACTTTGAAAAATAATGGTATATATTGTATGCTTGAAAATGTTCAGAGAGTAGATTTTTAAGTATTCTCACCACAGAAACAAGTATGTAACATAATGCTTATGTTAATTATCTCAGTCTAGCCATTCTACAATGTACACATATTTCAAAACATCATGTTGTACACTATAAATATGTTTTGTCAATTAAAAATTCAGTAAAAGAAAAATAGTGGGCTTATGTTTCTATTTCAATTTTAATATTATTATTTTGTGGTGCTGGGGACTGAACTCAGGACCTTGTGCATGCAAGAGTTTTGCTACTGAGCTCCAGCTCCAGCTCAACATTATTTTTTTTTAAAGTAACTACTTGATTTTATAATTTTATCTTTTCTTTTACACTGAAAATCATGACCACCAATAATAAATATTGTTTTGTTTTGAGAAAAGAATCTCAAAATAGCAACATCAATATTACCATTAATAATAAACCAAGTAAGTTTAAGGTTTTATTATTTTTGTAGTCTAGTTTTATTTAAATGGAAAAATTAATTACTGTTATATCGATATCATTTAATTACTTTCCTTTGAAATATGTCTTGTGTCTGCTTTGTTTTTATCATAGGTTGATCATTTTGGATTTAATAACATGAAAACTTTTAAACAGCGGTACCTGCTAGCTGACAAACACTGGGATAAAGATGGTGGATCGATACTTTTCTACACTGGTAACGAAGGGGACATTGTTTGGTTTTGTAATAACACGGTATGTGCAGATTTGTAAAATTCCTCTGCTCAAACAATTTGCCTTTTATTATGATAAACTACAAAAAAATTGTTTTGCAGTAAAATGACCAAGGACTACCTTTCTTAACTGTAAAGTTCTTTTTAATAATAACATAATGGAAAAATAGCAAAAATACATGGACAGGCAGTTCACAAAAGAATAACTATAGATAGCCAAGAAGGCTTCATGTTTAGTTTTAAAGAATTACAAATGAAAACAATGAAATACTTTTTTTTTTTTTAATTACAAAGTAGTGTAATAATCGTTATCATCTCCAATTCCAGTATTTGGCATGGTTCCTAGTACTCAGAAGATCCCAGTAAATGTTCGTTGAAATAAATTGCATTGAATTTAAAGTAAAGATATAGAACTAATTATACTGTTACTGCATTCCTCATTGATGACTGTTTCCTTAGGAATAAGAATCTAAATATGTTTGTCGAAAATGAAATAATTCCCTGAGAAATGAGATCCTGGAATGACTTTTTTTTTTTTTCAGACGAATGATCAATGAGAGCAGGACTTCCTTTCCATCAGATTCTGTGGAACAGTGGCTGCTGCCTTGTCTCTTTTTCTTATCTGTGACTGCCCTTTTTGTGCCAAGGCCACAGGGCAACTTTCATTCAGATTTTCCTAGCTCCTGTTCTCCTGTATTGTAGGCAGGTAGCTATTGCTTCCTCCACCAGACTCTACTGCTTGTTAGAAAGTGGAGCAGAACCTGAGGTTTGCTTGGGGATTCCTATCCTCAGAAGTGCCAAGAACAGTTCTGGAGAACTGACTAGAGGCAGCTCTTGGAAGGGTATACCCTAAATTTCCTAGTCCCAGACATCTTCCTCACTTTTAGATGTTCCTTTTTCAATAGGCAGTGTAGTATAGTGATAGAGAGTGAAACCTTCAACCAGATTGACAAGATTTGAATTCTGATTTTGTCACTTTACTATTTTATTTTGGGAAAGTTTCTTATTTTGTGCTTCAGTTTTTCATCTATTAAATGGGTACAATAAAAATATCTAGGGCATAGAGTTATGAAGACTAAATAAGATAAAATTTGTAGGCACATAATGTTAATAAAGTATGTGCACCTCATTTGAAAAATATACCTCTGGTGCAGATGCAGAGAAATGCTTATTACATTGTGAATCAGTTCAAGTAAATTGTTTCCTCTTGAAGCCCAAGGTCAACTCCACAGAAATCTGGGTATTCTGATAGATGGTTCTTACTCTTTTTTTTTTAATACCTTTATTTTATTTTTTATATGGTGCCGGGGATCAAACTCAGTACCTTTCACATACTAGGTAAGTGCTCTACCACTGAGCCATAACCCCATCTCCGATTCTTACTCTTAAGACACAGTCTTGAGGGTAAGACTCACATAAGCAAATCTTGCAGCACAGTAATAGAGATCTAGGCCTAGCCCAGCAGTGTGGAAGGAGAGTATTGACAGGTTGGGACAGGCAGGGGGGGAGTATGCACAAGTTGTATGTGGGCAGGATCTGTAGACATGAGGCATGGAATGAGTGGGTCCTTCAAAGAGAATGGTGGGGCTACTGACACCATCCCAGGTGTTTCATTAAGTTCTCCATCCTCACATACATGCAGCTCTTTTAATTGTTTGCTTATTGATCAAAACAACTAAAGACAAAGTTCTTAGTTCTTATTAGGGAGTGGCAACTCATTAAAAAGTAACACTGTGCATTAGGGATGACAATTCATTTTAATCATGTTTAATGGAGTCCATCTATGCCTGCCTGGAATGCTTTGTTGAGAAGGATTCTGAGGCTACCACTGAGGCTAGTGAAAAAGGCAGAGAGGGATAAATGAGTAGCCATAGACGCTGAGGCAGGATGTCTAACAGCACCTAATTATGATGTTCTGCAGCCAGGCAGCCTATATTTGAATCTGGTTTCTGACACTTACTAGCTGTGTCAATATCAAGGCTTATTTCTAGTCTTGTATCTCTGTATTGTCTGTAAAATCAAAGTGTCTGTTTCTTGTTCGTTTTGATAATTAAGTGAATACATAGGAAATGTTTAGAACAGGGCCTGAAATATAAACTTACTCAGTTAATATCAGCTATTGTTATCTATTATTTATTTTCCAATAAATCAAATTAATATAATACTCCCTAGGGGATTAGTATGCTTATTTGTCCTATTTTCTCTTATATGGTATAAATGACTGTGATTAGTGTCTGACTTTGATACCATGAGTTCTTTCCCAGAATATATGGTGCCTACTGCAATTTGAAGATTATTTGAGACCTAATATTGATTCTAGGATGAGAGGTTCAGGATAAGGAAAATTGGAATGACTAGTAGGTGAGCAACCTGGGGTTGGTTTTAATTGTTTCACTCTAACACAGCGTTCAATAGTGAAACAGCAATTATGTCATTTATCTGTAGAAGAAACATAAATTATGAAACTTTTTAGAGAGCTCCTTCTGGTCTGGTTTAACATCTATTTCATAGGGTTTTTAAAAGTTTCAGTGAGTCCTGATTTTATCTTGTGATTTGTAAACTTTTCCTAGGGGTTCATGTGGGATGTGGCTGAGGAACTGAAAGCTATGTTAGTGTTTGCTGAACATCGATATTATGGAGAGTCCCTGCCCTTTGGCAACAACTCATTCCAGGTAAATATATGTTTTGCTTTGAAGTTTAAAGTTGGGAACATTTTTTACTTACATGTCCTACTTATGTGCTCATTATATGTTAATATAATAATAAGGTGGTTTTGACTTGAGCTACCTGAAATCTTAAGAATTTGTGCTTAATCTTTTCTTTTTCAGTACGATTTGAATGGATTGTGGCTTTTAAAAAAAAATTTTTTTAGTTGTTGATGGACCTTTAGTTTATTTATTTACATGTGGTGCTGAGAACCCAGTGCCTCACACATGCTAGGCAAGTTCTCTACCACTGAGCTACAATCCCACCTCTGGGATTGAGGCTTTTAAAGTCATATTATTATCTTTCTGATGTTAGCCAGTTTAGTTCAGTGTGCCAGGCCAGCTTCAATCAGCTCAATCTTACTCTATGGCTGCAGAGACAGTGCAGGGGACTTTTCATTATTTGAAAAGTGTAGGTCAACAATTCTGCTTTATAAATTATATGCTTTAATTATCAATCCTGTCTCTGGAAACGTATAATGAGCACATAAGCATTTGTCTAATAAGGTGTTTTAAATACAAGATAGTCAATAAAATAAGAAAAAATAAGCTGTATGATTCAGTGAGTGTAACTGTCCCTGGGATTCCCTTCAGCCCTTCCTCTTTGTACAAAAGACTCTGGTCTTGACCAAAGGCTCTGCACCTAATCAACCTGGATGATTTTTTTCTCATTTGAGTCACTATGTTCTACCTTTGTGATTCTGCTTATATTAATTTTTTAATGTATTAATTAATATATTTAAAAAATTGTATCATTTTCTTAATATTTTTCTTTAAGGAACTCAGTCTTTATGTTAGCATTATCTTAATCAAGGGCTTTATGTACTAGTTATTTTTTCCAAGTTACAATAAGATAATCAATCTTACATTAAAAACACTATGCACTACCTAAGATCATTTTGCATACCATCAGTATACGTATATCATGATTTTGAGGAGATTTCAGCTAGAAGAACTTGGGGTCAATAGTTTTTAGGCTGTCTGTTTTGAAAGGAATTTTTAATTTTTATCCTTAGGTTTTATTATTTTGTATCATAAATAAAATAAATAAAAATAAGTAAAATGTTTTTGTGTTATAAATAGAAAGATAGTTGTTGGGCTGTATGGGATGCTCTATTTTTTTTAAAAAAAATTTTGATTGTAGATGGACATACCTTTATTTTGTTTATTTATTTTTATGTGGTGCCAAGGATCAAACCCAGTGCCTACACATGGTAGGCAAGCACTCTATCACTGAGCCACAACTGCAGCCCCATCTATTCTTTTTTTTAATATATTTTTTTATGTTGATGGACCTTTATTTTATTCATTTATTTATATGTGGTGCTGAGAATTAAACCCAGTACCCCACACACGCTAGGCAAACACTCTACCATTTAACCACTGTCTGAGCCCTCATCTATTCTTTAACTTAGTGTTTTTCACACATAATTGATTAGAAAAGTTGACAGGTCCTGATATCACTAGGAAGCAGTCAGCTTGTTGCAGATAGAAACATAATTCCCTTGCCAAGGTCTCTATAATTGATGCTCTGTCAACAAAATGAAGCCAAGGGCTCTTTTTTTCATATGCTTCTTTCCCTTTCTGTGCTCACAGAATTTGTCAGTAGAATGATGGATGTTACACATATTATTCAAGGATTGGAAAAGAATTGCATTGAACTATACTATACATAGTGCCATAAAAACTGGAAGTAAAGAATAGTGACAGATAGGAGGTAAGAAGTCAGAAAGCATACATCTTGGATGAGGGGGAAGGCTAAAGGAGTAGGTGGCATCTATAGAAAGAGGAGAGTTGGGAGCTCTGTAGCTAAGTAGTGTGTCGAATAATAGAAGGAGTCAACAGAGTGGTGAGACACATGCAAAAAGATCCAACAAGATAGCTGGATAGGCTGTATAGCTATGTTTGTTATCTGTTGCTATAGTTTTAAACCTTTAAACAGCAATAAGCCTTTATTATCTCACAGTTTTAGGTAAGGAATTGGGAGTGGTTTATCTGGGTGGTTCTATTTCAAGCCAAGAGGTCAGCTACTGCTTGAGTCAGATAAAGGCTTAACCGGACATGGGAGACTCTTTCCACTAGTATAGAGGTTATCACATGAGTGATAAACTGGCTCTGGAGATTGCTTCCTCTCCTTCTAGGTTTTCCGAAGGGCCTACTTGAGTAGATTCATGACATTGCAGCTAATTGCCCTCAAAATTGGCCAACCAAGGGAGCAAGGTAGAAGCTACCATGCTTTTTTATTTTTTTAATATATCCTTGGTAGTCATGTATTATCATTTCTGCCACATTTTATTCATTAAAACCAAGAAGCTAAGTCCAGCCCATGTTCAAAGGAGTGAGATTAGGCTTCAGCTTTTAAAGTAAGGGATGTTAGGAATTATTGATGTTTGAAAACATCCTGTTAGGCTCCTCAGTTCAGCCAGACTCCATTTGTGCCTCAACTTCCTATACTGCAGAGGGAAATTGTCTCTATGCAGAGATATAGACAATCATGGGATGTACTTTATGAGATTCCCTCCTCTCTAGGATTGATGTCTTATATTTCTGGTGCCTGAAAATATATTTCTCTTTTAATTTTGCAGTTGTTTATGATAAGCAGCCTAGTTGACTCATAATATATAATCTTTCTGATGAGGAAGAATGAGTTTTGTTTTTATTGGTGATCTTCACCTCATTTGTCCACAGGATTTATTTTTTTATTTCCTACATTGTGGACATTTTTAATATGTCAATATTAGAAATACAAGTTATAGCAATTGTCTATTAGGCTTAATTTTATATTTCATCACATTTGCTCTTAAATGTTACTTACAGTTTGTTGTTGTTATTTTTATACCTCAACAGTCACTAGCATTTAGTAGAAATTATAACTAAATGCAAAGTACGTTATGTTCTTCCACAAACTTAAAAACATATTTCATGAGTTGTTTAAATCAGCACAGCTATTGCTTTGACTGGGCATTTTAGCTCAATTGACTAGAAATTGTATTTGGAGAAAAGCTTCTCTGCCTCTTTTTTTTTTTTTTTCTGGATCTGGGTAATACCTAAACTGCCATTATATGCACATTTATACCCATGTTCTTTATTATTTTTCTTTAGGATGGCAGACACTTGAATTTTCTGACATCAGAACAAGCTCTAGCTGATTTTGTTGAGTTAATCAAACATTTGAAAAGAACAATCCCAGGAGCTGAAGATCAGCCTGTCATTGCAATAGGGGGCTCTTATGGTGGTATGCTTGCAGCCTGGTTCAGGATGAAATATCCTCACATAGTAGTTGGGTAAGTGCATTTATGTTTGCATGAGAACTTCTTAGTAATTGTCAAGGCAAACTTAGAGATCTGTTTTGGGTAAAACATGCCCCATTCTATTACTGAGATTTCTAGTTCTGTGTCTTTAAAACTGTGTTATTTTTCCTCATCGATTTTGTTCAGTCTCAATTTTAATTTTAAAACTTGAGTTAAGTGAGTTCATTTTTTTTTCTCCTCCCTTGTTTCCCTTACCATTTAGAGCCCTTGCAGCTTCTGCCCCTATCTGGCAGTTTGAGGACTTTGTTCCTTGTGATACGTTTATGAAGATTGTAACTACAGATTTTAAGAAAAGTGGTTCAAATTGTTCAGTGACTATCCTCAGGTCCTGGGATGCCATTAACAGACTCTCAAGTACAGGTAAGTTTTATTCAAGTGAATGGATTTGAGATTTTGGTTAAATCAATACTTCCCCTCTTTCTTCCTTCCTTTGCCTTTCTCTCTCTTCTTTTTCTTCCTCTTCCTCCTCCTCCTCTTCCCTTTCCCCTTATCCCCTTCCTCCTTCTCTTCCTCTTCCTCCTACTTGTTTTCTTTCTTTTTTTTTTTGAGACAGGATCTCACTATGTTACCAGGCTGGTCTCAAACTCATGGGCTTAAATAAATGATCATCCTGCCTTAGCCTCCCAGGTAGTGGGGGCTATATGCATGCACCACTATGTTTATTGATTCTTCCAATTTTAAGCAAACAATTATTAAAGTAAAATATATGTACATAAAACTACACAATCAAAATGCATAGCTTGATGAATTTCACAAACTGAGTACTTGGTATAAATAACTACATCCAGATCAAGAACATTATCAGCATCTCAGAAATTCTCTGGTGCCTTTCTCAATCATTATCTCCATCCCTACCCAGCTAATTATATCCTCACTCCTTGAACCATAGATTAATTTTGCTTGTTCTTGAACTTTAAATAATTGCAATTGTATATTATATATTTTTTTGCCTGCTGTCTTTGTTCAATAGTATATTTGTCATATGTATCGATTTGTTTTATTAGTTGTAATTTATACATTATCCATCCTGTATAGTATTTCTACTTATTTGTTACAGTAGTATCTTAAAAGGGGGAAATAATTCAGACCACTAATTCTAGTAATCTGCATAAAGATAGGCAGCTTTTCTATCATGGGAATATCTATCTAGTAGCTTTACAAGTATTTTACTGAATGTTGAAAAAATTCTGGAAAATTGGTATAGAAAATTGAGTTTTCTGTAATACTAAGTGAAGAATGAATGATCTGTAAAGACTTGTGTTGACTCGTACTTTTTAGACTCCAGCATTGTGATTCTATTCTCAGGCAGTGGTCTACAGTGGCTTGCTCAAACCCTTCACTTATGTAGCCCATTGACATTCGAGGACATCCCAAATTTGAAAGAATGGATTATGGAAACTTGGGTGAATCTGGCAATGGTGAACTACCCTTATGCATCTAACTTTTTGCAGCCTTTGCCTGCTTGGCCTATCAAGGTAACAGGAAAATTTCCTCTTATTTTTTTAATGACATACTTTAATTTTCACATACATTTTCTGACTTTCATCATCAGAGGAAATCCCAGTGACATCTAGGGTTCTGTGGAGTTACTCAAATCTGGGTGGGAATCCTGGGTTCAGCCACTTTTTGATTATGTGACTTTGGACATGTTGCATAATTTCAGTTTTCCCATGAAAAATAGGGGCAAAATACATCAATTGTAAAGCTGTATGAAGTAGAAATAAGAACAATAATTGCAGTCATTTGAATATTTACTATGTGCCATGTCTAATGCCCTTTGAATATATAATATATTTGATTTTTGTGGTGTATGTATAATGCCTAGATCTATCTAATGATGCTTAATAAATTGCAGTTGTTATCATAGTATTATGATTTATTCGGCTGCTAAAGTTTTCTAAGTGCTACACATGTGTGAAGGGTGATTCCCATGCAGCATGGCAGAATGGAAAAAACACTGACTTGGGTCCCTGAAGATGAAGGTCTGGCCAGAAACTGATGCTTTCCAGCTGCGTGATCTTGGCCAAGGTGTTCTTCCTCCCTGAGTTTCCATGTCTACCTCTATAAAAAAGGATGACAATAGTTGTGCTTAGGACCAAATAAAATATTGGATGTGAAAATAGTTTGAGAAGTATAAAGACAATTTATACCAATTTTAGGTTCTTTTAGATTTTTAATTTTTTTTTCATGTCAAATTATTTATTGTGTATGCTCTTTTTTAAGCATATTGTTTGTTAGGAACTTTTCCTTTTAGTTTAAAAAATAAAGGCCGGCCAACTTGATAGTTAAGTTTTGAGAATATAATTGACTCTACAGCTAGAATTGGTGCTGGAAATAAAAATGGAATTGGTAATATGAGAGCCAGGTTTCAAAAACACTTGTAATTTACTGTGCCTTTGAAGCAGTAAACATACACTTTGCTTAAAACTTTGCAACTAAAATGAAACAAATTCATCTGCAATTAGTTATTTTTTTCTTTTTTCATGAACAAAGTGTTTTGCACCCGTGTGCATTTAATTAAATTCAGTAAAAAATTATGAGAAAGAGATCTCTTACATGTTAATAAAATCTGGGTTCAAACATCAAATTTAACTCTATCAGTATACAAAGAGAGAATTACATTTACATCTTAACCCTTTCTTGAAGAACAAATGAATTGTCAGATGATAAAAACAACAGGGAATTCCCTTATTGATGGAACAGGGATAGGCAAACTCTACCCATAAAGGGTTATACTTAGGCTTTGTGGGCCACGTGATTTCTGTCACAGTTACTCAACTCTGCAGGTATAGCATGAAAGTAGCCATAGGTAATCCATAAATGAAGAAGGATGGCCAATAATATTTTTTAAAAAACAGGCAGTTGGGCTGCATTTGGCCTGGAGGTTGTAATTTGCTGACCCTTAATCTGAAAGAGCCAGAGGAATACAGCTTTAGTATTAGTTGTTCATCATGATTTGGGATGGTGAGCAGTCTAACATGGTGTTTTCTCCACTTCTTTAATGTTCCTTCAGATATTTTCCTGTTGAGTCTTTGATGTAGATAAATATTTTTTTCCTTCACTATTCTTAATAATTACTTGACACCAGTAGGGTCGACTTAAAATATTTTGTTGTCTTTTATTATTATTGCTATTTAGTGCAGTCCTTTTATCTTTTTGTTTATATACATTATAGAAGCTTTTTTTTTTTTGCAAGATAACTGTATGTCCTTCCCCCATAATAACCTTAGCTTCTTTTATGCATGATTAGTTCTTGTCCTTTTCTTCAGTTATCTTACCAATCTTATTCTTTCCTTTGACATATTAAGGAATTATTTTGGAGAGTGGAACCCAGCACTATACCACCCAGTTATGCCCCCAACCTGGTATTATGGAATTCTTGATTGCTTACAATAAATACATTTATGATTTCATTTCCTGCCTATAACCCATCAAAAATAATCTGTTGCCTTTTCCTTGAGAAACTTGCATTGCCTCTATTTCCTTTTCCTCCTATAGTTGCTTACCCATCTGATTTTCAGAAATTTTCTTCCTCCCAAATTTTTAGCTTCAGATCACTTTCTTTCACTACCCATTCTATTTCTCCTTTCTTGACCCCTCTCTGTTCTCCCAACCCACTAATCCCTGAACACTACCCAGTTGGGGACCGCTCTTTCACTTGGATAGTTCCATTTAGCCAGAACTCCTCCTCCCTCTGATACACTTCCTCCTTTTTAAAGGGCTGACAAACAGCGGTCCTTCTCTGAGTCTGTGACTCAGGCTTAGGATGGTGAGATAATATGCAGCAATTGGGTTATGGAGAAAAGCAGGTGATTTCCAATTCAGGCTAAACCTTGTACAGTTCTGAAGGATCCATGGGCAGCAACTAAAGGCCATTTTCCGTGTCAATTCAAGGATCATTCTTTTTAATTTGTCTTTGGGCTCTGCCGGCTCAGGCTCCATTTACTTTTGTTTACTGTTAACAGAAGCTGCAACATTCATGCAGAGATAATCACAGACTTGGCCAGTGGAACACAAGGAAGAAGAGAAAAGGGAAATAGAAAACCCCTCTGTCATTTGACTGTTCTGTCCACATAAAGACTATTAGGTCTTTTAACTTAAAGAGCAGTTTTAAAGGATACTGTATAGTTTGTTAATTTTGGAATCATTTTTTACCTGGTAACTAATTAGACTCCTGAGCATGCAAAAGGATAGAGTGAAATAATAAGACATAAGATGGAAAACCTCTTCCGTTTGTCTTGGTGTTTGATAATGTATGCGACCTCTCTGGGTGGTTTAAGCGGTTTAGGTGCATTCTGTGAAAAGGGAGCTTTTAATGACAAAACTAATGTGATTATCCGAGTGAGTGTGAGAGGGGTATTGAAGCCTTAGAGAAAGAAAATCTGTTAGAAAAGCTGAATGTATCTGCTTAATCCTTTTTATAATGTGGATGGACCATGCTCTCTGAGAGGAGATTGGTCTTTTTTTAAAAAAAAAAAAAACCTATCTTCTTTCCTTCCTCTTAAAAAAATTCTCTTTGCCTCCCTTTTCTTTCTTTTATTTAAATGCTATTCTCATAGGTAGGGACACTTAGAGCTTTTAAACAAATCATTATCTTTCCTTTCTCTGGTATATGAGGGGGTCAAAGGGCAGAACCTAAATATTTGGGTGCATATCTGAACAGCTTGGTTCCAATGTTGCATGAATGTTCTATTTCTTATACTATTTCTGTACTTAAAGCTAGAATTAGGAAAGTGGACCTTTAAATTTTTTTAAGTGTTTCCACAAATGCACACTTTTACACAAGGAAATAGAAAGTGAATTAAGTCTATTTCAAGTGTTGGTTCTTGAGCTTCATATTGCTCTGCAATTTTGCAGTTCCTTTTTACTCTTGCATATTTTTAAAATTCTGTAATTTTATATTGCCACAAAACCCCTCCTAAGATTTTACTTAAAACTAATAATCATAGAAAAAAATAAAGACAATCCAAGAATTTAAAAAAAAAATGTTACAAAAAAGTCACCATGATACTATAGGTATATTTAGGCACTATGTTGTGATTTCTCTTTCAGTGTAACATTCAAAGGTGAGTATGTGTGGTTAATGACAAGTGGAAGCTCCAGAGTAAGTCTGTATTTGAATCTCAACTCTGATACTTCCTTCCTGTGTAGCTTTAAATAACTTTTATAACCTCTCTGAGCTTTAGTTTCATCACTTGCAAATGGGGATAATTACAATTGCCATACTTATGTGGGTTGTTGTATTTCATAGGATCTGTTGTGTAGTAAGCACTAAATTGATGCTAGTTAATAATTAGTTATATAATATCAGGAAGAGAGTATTATTATGCAAGTAGTTCATTGCTGCAGTCTGAGTTCAGAACCTGTATACTCATAGTTTCTCAATTGTGTATTTGGAGCCAAACCTCTTGTGAGCTTGTTTTTTCCTCTGTGAAATACTGATGGTCATTATCTGTTGCTTCTTCCTAGGTCATTGTCGGGAAAGTGCCTCCCCTTAAGGAACCTAAGTAGTTATACCAGCAACCCCAGCTTTACCTGGCCCTGTTTTAGTACATTTATGGCTTTGAGATTATTCACAAGAAACACAAAATATATAGTATAATACAGGAGCTACAGATGGGTGTTAAGTGTGTGGACAGAGGTGGTTGTCTAACCTGATTAGATTGTAGTCCTTCAGCAAACAATAAGGGCTTGCCCTTATTAAGTGGGTAATATATGTAAATTGTCAGGATTAAGCTGAAGTTTATACAAGATTGTACCAAACTTGCCAGTATTTGACTATGTTTCAACTGTAAATGTGGCAATTTTATATGGTTCAACTTAATATTTACATGTTATATGCATCCTACAAATCTGAAAAAAGTATGTGAATCTCTTTTTTTTAACTATCATAGTCTTTGAATAAGCATAGGAATATGCTTATCAGTATTACTTTGGTACTTTTTGAAACTTCATTTACTTCACTACCAAAATTGTTATGGAAGTGAATAGATATGTAGATATTGTGTTTTTATGCTATAGAATGATCAGACTCACAGGATCTTTGCATTAGAAAGGAGCTTTAGAACCACTTAAAATAAAGTTTCCACAAATATTAAAAAAAAAAAAGTTCAGTGATATTTTCAGACCTTGTAAATAATATGCCAGTAGATTATAAAGTGGTACTTCCTCTCTATAGGGCAGTTTGATGGAATATACCTAAGGCCTTAAAAATGTTTTTTGAATGAGTAATTCCTTTAAGAATTTGTCTCAAGAAAACTAAAAATAAATTTAGTCATAGGTGTATTTTTTAAGCTTTATTTGTATTAATGAAAGGTTGGGAATGATTCAAATGACCAATTTTAGGGCTGCTTCAACTATTCCTCAATTCCTCATCTCACCCGTTCCCCTCTGGATTTTCTTATGTTTGGTTGGTGTCCTCCTTAAGGTGTAGTGCCCAGAACTGGACTCAGTTGTCCTCTGACTTCACAGAGGAAAGTGGGCCCAGGATTGCCCTGAATCTGGGCATAGAATTTCTATCAGCAGAGGCCAAGTTTCTGACCATGATGTTCTGGGGCTGACAAAACACAAGTATTGTCAGCTGGTGCTGGTCTCCAGCCACGCTTGTGTCTTTTAAGGAGTGACAGTAACTGTTCTTTGCAAATATGGCTATTCATGGGGACTCCTTTTCTTTGCCCAACAGAGGCCCAGTGTTCTAGCTCTAAGTAGGACTCTAATGCCAGCATGTGAGTCACACTCACTTGCTCCTGGTCTTTGCAGAGTTTTAGTCCAGTTCTTGTACACCAGTACCTTTTTCCCTCTGTCCAGCTTGCACCATCACCCTGTCTTATCTACCACGATGTGCTTGAACATAATGATCTTCTCCCCATTCCACGTAGCTCCTCTGTAGTATTGTGCTGCATTTTGAAAAAGCAGTCTGCTGCTGGTATCAAGATATAGGAAGGAATACTGATCAACTATTGGCAATAGCTGTGTTTGGTTCTTTAATATCTATATCGTCTTGAGTATTTCTGTCTTGAATACTGAGATATATTGCCATATTTATGATCATTTTCTGACAATTGACATACAAATGCTGGATAATTTTTTAAAATTTATATCTAACAGTGGAATGCATTACAATTCTTATTACATATATAGAGCACAATTTTTCATATCTCTGGTTGTATACTTAGTATATTTGCACCAATTCTTGTCTTCATACATGTACTTTGGATAATAATGATCATCTTGCCACAAAAAAATTAAGAGCTGTCAAATAGGAAAACACTGTTTTGACTTTAAGTATTCTTCAACTGGCATTTCCTTATTACTCTAGGTTTATGAAGCTCTCAGTTTAGCTCAATTCTGTTTCTTCATGTGCATCCTGCATACTGGTGTACCTTATGCTTTTGACGTCATGGTTACTCTTAAAAAGTATATCCTTTGTTTGGGCATCTTATTTCCTGGCTTTTCTCACACTTGGTATTTCCAAAAACTTATTGATGCATACTATCCTCATTTTGGAAATTCATATTGCAGTTGAACATATTAAATGCTCTGAATCCTGCATTCAAGAAAGCTGTTCACATTTGCTAATACAATATTCCTTCTAATACAATATTCCTTAAAATTATTTGACTAAGAAGTTTTTTTCCCCACAAAGTACCAGTTAACAATTCATAGAATATGATTGTGTAGAATACATTTGAGGAGAGGCATCATATTTTCCTTACAACTCATTTTCTCAGTCTTTTTAAGTTTTTTTTTTTTTTTTTAATGGGAGTGTTGCTGGGAGCCGGTCCTAAACAGAATTGTGATAAGGGGCTGGGTTTGCTTGTGGCTTGTTATTTCTTCCTTTCTCTATGCCCTCC